GGGGGGGAGGARAGCAYGACACGTGTCCACTAATGTCCACATTCATCATGAAAGATGATGCACATTCAATGACTTATACACCATACATGATCCATGATAAACTGATATACCATTCATGATGAATAAACCCGTGAGGCCATGAATGTATGGGACATGTGTCACGCTCTCCTTTGTCCCCATCCAAAAATGGTTTTGCAACCGAACCCACCCCTATATACACACACACATATATATTATATACACACACGCAAACACATGATAAGTACCAATCAAGACAAAAGCCACTAGTAGTAAATCATTACGAATATCAATAGCATTGATTTGGCAACCTAACATTCCTATATTTTGTTATTGTAAAGGGTATTTTAGATATTTAGTTATTTGTTATAGCATTTCCATTAAACTATCAAACAATTTTTACACAAAATTTAGCATGTGACTACCAAGTCAACTTTTAAGACATGCATTTTGGGTGATCTCCACATCCAAAATGCTTGTGCAAGCACAAATTCAATAGCTACTTGCAAAATTTTGTGGATAGATTGCCGCTCTCTCCGTTCTATTTTAGTTTGTCCCAAAAGAAATGTGTCTTCATTTCTATTTTAGTATGTCCCAAAAAAAGTGTCTACTTTCAATAATAAGTGCCTATTTTCCAATTTTACCCTTAATGGAGTAATTCATTACTCCATCTTTTACTATGGTTAATTGGACATTTATTTTGGGACAGAGGGGTAATATGTTTCTTTTTTCTTGTATGTGTGGCTAGGTGTTGTGCTCGATTCTTGCAAAACAAACCCATTAGCTAATAGAAGCAACTTTTAGAAAATACCTCAGCCTTTGAATCAGTGTCTGCAAGCCTTTGCTTGATATCCGTTGCTATTGAAAAGAAAACTTGCTCCACATTTAGATTTGTTTTTGCACTCTGCAAAACACAACTTATGTTTGTCGTTAACACAATCCGTTCTCAATATCTCTTTACTTCATCATGGAAATGTAATATGCGACAAAAGAAAGAAGCATATAATCGATTTACTTACAGTTTCGAAGAATTTAATGCCGTACTCATCAGCTAGTGCTTGGCCCTTTGAGGTAGGAACAGCCTACATAATATTGAGGTAGCGTCAGATTTGTTTGATTCCTTGAGGCAAGGGAAACTTATTCGATTGAAGCAAACCAAAAGCATAAACAAGAAGGATATGAATGATGCATGAGGTCCAAAAACTAAAACATACCCTCTTGCTTTCATCCATATCGGCCTTATTCCCTACAAGGATCTTGTTGACATTGTCAGAGGCATGTTGTTCGATGTTGCGTATCCAGTTTCTTATGTCTGGTAACAACAGGAAGCAATATGCGAAAATAATAAGATTAGTATACTAACAAAAGGTGAGCATTATATAGTGTGTATATATCATTGCATGCAGGTCCAGAGAAGCATGCTTCTACGTAGCCCATGTTTCGCAAGCTAGCTTATAAGCTAACTGTTAGCTGATCAACTAGTAGTCATGTAGCTGATAAACTAGAGGACAATGTAAAATGACCTAAAAGGACATGCTGAAAATTTACTGAAAAAATATAAGGGGCACAATTGGAAAAAATCCCTTCCAGCTAGTTTATGGCTAACCAAACGGGCTCTTTCAACAAGCTCAAAAAATAAACTAGTTAATAAGCTAGCTTAAGGTTGCCAAACATGGCCATAGCCCAATTGACAACCACTGAAATTAGAAGCTTTGAGGGTTGTGCAATGCATAATACATATCAGTGAGGCCACTTGCCCAATAATTAGTTTAAACCACACTACCACCCCCATAACTAATTAATAACCGATTTAACTAATTAGGAATAAGCTGGAAAAAGAGAGAAAGCAATAAGCTAATTTAAACTAAACAGGAAAGAAACCTTACTGTTGAAAGATGATTCATCTGTAACATCGTACACCAACAGAATACCCATAGCTCCCCTATAGTAAGCTGAAGTTGCGGAGGGAAAAAGATTAGTTTTTGGAGGGCAAAAAGATTATGTAAATTACATATTGGTCTAATCCTTTTTTCCTAATAACATATCAATCTAATATGAAAATAACAAAAAAAATATGCAAAAAAAAGCTAAGCAATCATTGCACAAGCATTCAGGAGCAAGCACCGATTCCACATGTTGTAAAGCCTGCTTTCCACATTATACTACTAATTCATGAAGGATCCGCGTTGCTGCTTAGGATTTGTGCTGGAATTGCCAATCCTTTACTCCATACAGGACATAATTGACATCTTAAGAATATGCAATAAATCTCAGGGGCACACCACTTCTTTCATATCTCAAATTAGCAGCATATGTAATGCATGTGACATATGAAGCAAAGATGACATTATTTACTAGAATAGAACCTGAACCCTACCAGTTGTGATTGTCCGAAATCGCTCCTGACCAGCTGTGTCCCAGATTTGGAGTTTGATCCGTTTGCCATCAAGCTCAATGGTTCTTATCTTGAAATCAATACTGTAACAAGAAGCAATGTCAGAAATCGTTGTAAGAAGGTCTTATGTTCATGCAGAAAAGATTAATCAATTCACCCGATGGTAGTGATAAAACTAGTAGTGAAAGAACCATCAGAAAAACGCAAAAGAAGACAACTCTTCCCCACGCCTGCAAGGACCAAAGACAGGAAATAATCACTTGACAGTAACTGATAATTAAGCACACTGAAAAGCTCCGAACATCAATCTTATAAAACCAACAAACATGCACACGTAATTACAATATTAATATATGTGTATATATGATATACATATAGATACAGACATATCACAAAAACTAAAAAGAAGTTGCAACAGAACTAAGGAAGAATGTTATCAAGAAGTTCTAGAACACAATATATCTCCTCTATCACATTTTTTTTTAATTTTCCTCCCCTCGCTAAGAAATCATGTGACCATGTTCTCAAAGGTACAACCCTATCTTATATGTTATTTATAACTCTGAACTATAGCACCTAGGAAGCAAAAAAGGTGGATGTGTATTAAAAAATAAAAGGAAAAGTGTATGACATACAGAACTTCCAAACTTTAACTGGTATGAAAGTAATTATGATCAATTACAGCATGGATAAAAGTAAAGAAACACTTGACTTTCAAAGGCCTTACTAATCATCTGAGAAGTTAAAGAAATATATATCTTATGTACTCCAATTATACACTATTGATGACACCAACAAAGTCCTGTGCTAATATATCCGCTAGCTTAGGAGAAAAAAAAAACTTAGTGAAAATAGCAATTACTATCTCCTTTCTTCTCTTCTCATAGTTTATTACATTGTATATCAGGTTCTTAACCAACTGGACAGTCACCAACACCATGAAAGTATATTGCTCAATCTGAAAAAATACCTGTTATAGTTCAACATACTGGATCCTATGTCCCTGTGACCATAGAGGGGCATGTTAGCATAGACGACACACAGAAAGAAAGGCAAGATCCAAAGGCCACAAAGGCCATAGATAGACTATTGGTAGGACATGTACACTCTCTGCATCTTCCTCTCTTCAATGAGCTGAGCAGAGAAGGATACATCCTTTTCTAGCAAAAGACCAAACATACTTTATCCAGTTCCAGACAATGACATGGCCAACACAACAGTTTGTTCTAGATCTAACCATATCAAAGCAAGTATAACATCTTTATCAATCTTATTGGCATTTCTCATAGATTCTTCTACCAGAGCAGTAACTATTAGGCATGAATTCGAATGTTTGCTACAGGTATTCTGCCAAAAAGCACACAAATTACTATCAGACACGACTGATGGCAGCTACATGTATCTATGTAAGTTTTACATATCCTGTTCTTTGATATATATCTTATTTTAGATGACATTTGCCTTGTGCCTTTAATTTCCTGCTAGTTAAACAGCAAAGAACTCAGCCATGTTGGTGCTGTTCCTGTCACGGTTTGAATCACTTCAAGGATGTTTCCAGACAGAGTGCCAATACACGATTTTGCCTTAGTTTCTCGTCTTACTTTACTGAAGGTTGATTTTTAACAGAGCGAAAGTCCATGAAGGAAAGGGAAACTGTGATTTCAACAGTTATAGTTTGGGCAGTTAATTTGGATATGTCAGGAAAGTGGAATCTACATAATCGCTTCCTCCAGTAGAACCACCTGGTATTCTGTGTATCGAATACGATACTTGATGAGCACAAGTAAATGGAAGTATATGACTTACACTAAGATGGCATTTTCATGCCAATCACATACAAGAAAGGAAATCAGATTCCATATATTTCTCTTCATTGCTACATTAATTCTTCCATAAGTATATATGACCTTGAACGTAGATGCAATTATGCCCAGGAAAAAAAAGAGTTAACATGTTCTAACAGAATTTATGTTCTTATTACTCTCTTAAACACAATTTTGCTTTTTTATGTTTTTTACAAACCATGCTATTCAATATATGGAAGATTGAGAACAGACTTCAGACATAAAACCGGTGATGACCATGACCAACCACAAACCCAAGTTCAAAGCAGTAAAGCTCAGATTCTTCATAAAAGTTGATTTTCTCCTATCATAAGAACACCAAAGATCAGCACCGTGTAGCAAACAACTCAGATAACCGAAGAATCAAAAAGTCCAACAGAAACAAGACCATATCATGATAAAAACTACCAAGTGAAACCTAGATCCGTACAAAAATCACCTTTATTTTTTTCACCAATCAATACAATCCTAATATATCAGCTAACAACAAATTCGCATCATATAGCATATTAAATCCAGAAATTAGATTTCAAATGACGAAGATTAAAACTCACCACTATCGCCAATTAAAAGAAGCTTAATGAGGTAATCATAATCTGCTCGTGCCCTTGCCGGTGGAGCGGCCATTGAAGGATCGAAAGAGTTTTCAACAAACAGAGCCTTATAAACCGCGTACGTATATAGATATACACACAAATATATCTGTAGAAAACAATTAAACCAACAAAATCACGAACAGATTCAAACTAACTTAATGTGCGAGCATGCGCCATTAACAGCAAACGCACCACACCAGTAATCGATATGAGATCCGCCATGGAAAATCGAGAGTAAGAAAGAGAAAGAGAAATTATTACCTTCAAAATTTTAGAAACAAAAAAAGGTTCCACCCTACAATGACGGTTGGCTAAGATGCGCCACTTCCCCCTTTTCTTTTGTATTTTTAAGCGTGCGCTGTTCACCCCCTGCGCAATTTAGCAAAAAAAGGGGGAAAGAAGAGTAAACGGATGAACGATTGGGGGAGAAAGTTTCCGGTGTTGACGCACAAGATCAACCGGTAGACAGTTGTTGGATTTAAAGGAAACGAAGTGGCCGATCATGGTAATTACCGTGAGCGCGTTGCAGGGGATCATATCTGAGCTGGAGATTTATATCATTAGCGTTGATTACAATTTAATTATTGTTTAACTTTCGCCACTATTTTATTAAATCAATCAATGTGGCCACCTAAGTTTTGTTTTGTCCATATTATCCACGTGTATTCTATGTCAATTATTTTGGATAATATCTATATTTCTTAGCTGTTTTTAATCTGATCAAAATAGCCAAGTTCTCACAAATGATCATCTGTAGCTTGTAAAATGTATTTTTCTGAATTATATGTGATTCTGATGGGGTGGGCTTGTAGAAATTGGCGCGACAGCTCGTGAAACGTCCTTTTGGCTTGTGAAATATCGTTCTTGTTTATCAGTTTATGCGAAATTGCTCACCAAGATCATATATTATTCATAATGAGTATATTTTGCAAATTACGAAATGGATGATCATAAAATCTTGGTTATTTTGATTCAAACATGAAAAAATTGGTTAAAAGGTAAAGATATTCATTCAAAATGGTGAGTTTGGTCCATTTCCATTAAATATATGGTCAGGCTTTATTTTGTGGCTCAGAATAGAACAGTAGATTAGTTGAACAAAACAAAACAGAATGTTTGTGTCAATTATTACATCGATAAATAATTATAACAAAAGGGTGTTTATCATATGCTTACTGGGTATTATCGGTAAAAGTCATTACTTTCACTTATTTTATCTGTTAACATTATCGATCATCAAAATAGATTGTTAGTAAACGTCTTTTACTTGGTAACAATTAACCGGGTAAGAGTATTCTCCTTCACTTACTAAGTAAGATCATCCGATTCTTATTATGTCTCTTACCAGATAAGATTATCGGTCTTTATTATGTCTCTTACAAGACAAGATTATGGATATTTATCATGCTCATCCGACAGTGACAAAGCCACCTGGCCCAGGGTGAGCCAAAGACCACCCAAGTTTGTGGAAAATTTTATATGACCACTTAGCATAAGTGTTTTAGAAGACCCGAGCCTCATTCCACGTCTGTTTGCAAAGGTCAATAATCTTACCCAGTAAAAGGCATAACAAAGATCGAAAATCTTACCGGGTAAGTAGTGAGAAATTTGTTACCCTGTAAGCACTTACTAGATAAAAGACGTTTACAACAATCCAGACTGATATAAACCTTGTTAATTAAATAAGTAGCATTTTTATTAAATAAATTTGTATATATTTATGAAATATTTTCCAAGTAATATTAAATCATTTTAAGTACCATTCCTTTAAATGATATCCCACATAAATATTGCAGCACATAAATGCATAATTTACGTATAAAAACATGCGCATTACATGATTTTGAATGTTATTTGTTGGATAATAATTTTTTTTTTTTTTAGATTAACCTAGATATCCAACCCGTTATACGAGCCGACTAATCCCAGAGCGACCACCTGCTTTGTAGATAGCTCTGAGTCACCGCATTTGAACCTCCGTGGCCACAAGGGGATTTTTATTTCTCCTTGGATTTGAACCTGGGACCTCCCGGTACTTTTAATCTTTGGAGTCAAGCTCAAACCAATTAAACACTACCCGTGTAGTTTAATAATTTTTATTTTCTAATCATTGTAAATGAAAATAATTGTAGAAAGATGAATCTAATGATTTATGACAACTATGAGATATTTATGTGGGGGAACAGGAGGAATATAGTAAGCTATTAACATATTATCAAAGCCTCCCAACAACATCTCATGATTGGACTAACATAAAATATCATAATAACATCTTTAATAGATATGTTATATATTTTTTTTATTAAAATAGATGGAATTCTTTGAATTCCATAAAATTATTATGAATTCATCATTTTATGGTATAAGTGAATAAATTAAATTTTATTCAATTGCATCCAATTTAACCAACATCGCTCATCCCCCTCACTCTCCGTCCCTACCACGACCATGCTATTATTGTCATTGTCATGCCACTAATACTGTACCACTACACCTATCACAACCACCACCCATCCCTACCCTAACCTACCAATGACCACCATGCCATTATTGTCGTCCTCAACCCCCCCCCCCATCACACCCACAACCTACCACCATGCCACCACTATCGTCATCACAGATCGTCATCACAACTACCACCCCACTACCCCACAATCGCCCGTCCACCATGCCACTATTTTCATCGTCACAATTACCACCCACCCCCAACCTACCGACCACCATATCATTACTGTCTTCACAACTACCACCCTTACCACCACCCATCCACGTAGGTGCTGAGGGGGTTTGGTAGCAGGAGCAGGGTGGGATTTGGGGTTCTTGGTAACTTTGTCACAAATTCCATGGTTATATCATCGAAACCTGACGATGTCCTTGGTAACTTTGTAAGAAGATCCACTATAACCCGTATTGTATCAAAATTTTAGAGTGTCCTTCGTAACTTTGTCACGAATTCCATGGTTATATCATTCCATTTCTACATATGGATGTCTAACGGTTGAAGCTTCCCATAAGGCTTATGATGTTCCACCTTTACCTGCAAGCATGTTAGACATTTCTCAACATAATACGTTATGTCATTCTTCATTCTTGGCCACCAATAAAACTGTCAGAGATCTCGGTACATTTTATTGGTACCCGGACACATAGAATATCGGGACTTGTGCCCTTCCTCCAACACCTTCTCACGCGATCCACCAATCCTAGGATCCCACACTCAATTCTCTAAACATTTCAACCCACCATTATTGCACACTAATGATGCCACACTTTCCACAATTCTCTCACTTTTGTGATTCACCTCCAAAAGCGCTTTTTCTTGAAACTTTTTAATCTTGTCAAGGAGATTAGACGTCACATCGGCTCAAAAAGCTAACACTTTGGTTGGTTTTCCTATCCCCTTAAGACTCAAGGCGTCAACTATAACGTTTGTCTTTTCCGGATGGTAGAAAATTTCACAATCGTAATCATCCAATAACTTCATCCACCGTCTTTGTCTCATGTTTAATTCTTTTTTAGGCTCTTTTAATCGATATAAATATGACATTTTGCTCCATAAAGATAATATTTCCATATCATGGGTAGGGTAATTTCTTTCATGTTCTTTCAATTGACGAGTGGCATAAACAATAAACTTCCCATGTTGCATAAGTACACACCCCAATCCCAATTTAAAATGAAATATTTAATTAAAATTAGTTACCTAGTATATCAATTACCCAATATACATCATATCTTAAAGACGTTTGTGAATCAAAGTGTATCATAGTGATAACGTTCACAATGTTTCACGTGTATTACAATGTATTTTCTTTGTTTCATGAAATGTATCATAGTGTGCATTTTCGTTATTTTCATTGTTTTACAAAAGGTATCACATTGTGCATCTTGTATGTATATCTGTGTATCACAGTGAATATTATTTAGGGCAAAATGCATAAAATAGCAATCTACTTTCATAAATTTCTTTATTATAGTATTGTACTTTCAGTTTTTCTTATTACAGCAATGTACTTTCAAATTATTTTTTATTAGAACATTGTACTTTGAAAAATTTACCCATTATAGCATTGGGTAACCTTTTGATTTAAATTTACCCATTATACTAGGTTTTCATGCCACCTCATTGTCCACGTAGGATGTCCACATGTACTATAGTGATGTGACTTTCTTACTATATCATTGTACTTTCAAAATTATTTTATTATAGCATCTACTATTTCTTATTAAAAACACTGTATTTTTAATTTTAATATTTAGATATTTTACATGTTTTTTTAATAAATCTATTAAATGAATTAAAAAAATTCTAAATTATTCATTAATATACCAATATCAATAAAACTAGTAGAACACAACTTATCTCGCTAATATTTTAAAAAAAATATGTGTTTTTTGAAAAAAGGAAAATAAGAATTGTTCTTTTTTTACCAAAAAAATATTATCTTTACTTGACGAATATATTATATTTGTTTAAAAACTTTTTACTTGACGTATAAATATATTTAATTAATTAGATTTTTTGAAGTATTTATTAATATAACAATATTAAAAAATTGTAGATAACAATTTATTTCGTTAATATTTTAAAGAGAACTTTAAAATATATGTATTTATTTGAACAACATAAAATATGAAAAGTTGTCTTTTTTACAAATAAAATATATCTCGAAAATAATGTTGCATATTTATTTAATAAATATTTTACTCTAAGAATATTTAATTTAAATGCAACCTAATAAGAAAAAGTGAAAAAAAAATTAAATGTTTTTTTAGATAATAGCAGTGAAAAATGAAAATCACTAATAATAATTTGAAATATGTTTTTATTTTAATTTTAGTTAAGTCATTAAAATGATGTGTCATCCACATCACCTCATTAAAGCCACACAAGCAAAAAAGTCAAAGGGTTAACCGGTTTAAAATGTAACAGGTTACCCATTGCTATTATGGGTAAAAAATTTAAAGTACAATGCGTTAATAAAAAATAATTTGAAAGTACATTGTTGTAATAAAGAAAAACAAAAGTAGAATGCTATAATAAGAAATTTTGTGAAAGTAGGTTGCTATTTCATGCATTTAACCCTATTATTTATAGGTATCATAATGCGTATCTTGTGTTTATATAAGGTTCATCGAAATAAGGTTCACCGAATAAGATTCGCCAGAAAAAAAACCAAGTTTAGCATAAACCATGAGAACATTTCTTAGTCTTTAGTAAAAAAAAAAAGTTAATCTGATTGGCTCTTAAAAATCCAACTTATTTTGAGGTTTAGTTTTGGTTGTAATAGACTTTGAATACAACTTATTTTGTAATTTGTTATAGGTAATTTATAAGACAATATATAAACACGAGATTTAGGTGGCATTTATTTTTTAAGGGTTATTGAAGTCTGAAGTCTTATTTTACTTTTGATTTAAAGAGGTGGTGTTGACATCTAAATATCCGAATCAATAAAACTGTTTGTTTTTGTAAACTGATAAACGTTGAATTTGTTTAAATTGTCTATTTTACCATTAAAAAAATTATATTGTTGAATTTATAAATAAAATTTATACAATTTCACATATTTATTATTCATCATTACGAAATTTACATCTAAATTATATAATTAACATTTATTTAAACGAAAATATGTCATTAACGTATTTAACACATTTAAATCATATTAAAATACATCAACTGAGAGACATGAGGATTGATTTGGTAAAGATTGATTGAGAAAAATGATCGATTGAGAAATGTCGTTGTTGAAGGTTTGAAGAACAATAAGAGGCAAATAAGAGGTTGGTTTATCTTATATTCATATATATTATATATTATCAATTTAAAAGAGCTGGTAAATAAAATGTAACCAAATTTTTTCAGTAAAGAATTTAGCATTGTATTAAGGGAACAAACATATATTAATTAATTACATTTGGTAAGAAAATATGTAACAAGTTAATTGGTCGTTTATTTTATAGTATTGCTTATTGTTTCTCTAAGTTTTTTTAATCTACTACTAAAATCTAAAACTAATTTGCCCAGAAAACATTGATATATTCTTCATCATTCATCTTCCACAGACTCTTTTGATGATTTCATATGCATGAATTCTATTTTTGTATTAGAATATATAGATTTATTGTTATTAACTAAGAAAACTTCTATTTTTGGAAAAAATTACCAACCATATATATGAGACGATCTAACTAATATCTATATTCGGAATTTCAAAGCTACTATTGTTTTTTCATACATTATTGACTCCTTATTATCTAATAATTAGTGTATGATTTTTAAGTATTTTTTTTATCCTTAAAAGAAGAATCAGATCTCAAGCTATAACCAAGATGTGCTTTTAATTATAAGATTGATGGTTCCTAAAAAAATTATTTTAACCTTAAAAGTTTAAAATGGTGATGAAAACATTAACATAAAATGACATGGATACCCAACTGTTTTACGTTGATTTATATAAAGTGCGTACTGTGAATAATCAACATTATGACACTAAATGATGTCAATTTATATGTTAAAAGGTATATCATAGAATGTGTTTGACAATGGAACGGATTTACGATGCTGTGTAAAAATGATATGGTATATAATATTAATTTAGAAATAATTATTAATTGATTTTGCGTCTAGTAATACTCCGAAAAACGGTTTATATGAACTATTAGTATTTTATGAGTTCAGTGTTATTTATGATTATAAAAACAATATATGGAAGAAAAAAATCATACTTATCGAGTGCTCATTTTACATTTTATTTACAGCTTATAAAATGTCAGAAATGGGCTTGGACACTCTGGGCAATTTTACTCGTCCAACCCCCTCTCGACCCTCTGGGACAATCTGTAGTTGTTTAGCCTTTGTTGGAGGGGGATGTTATAGTCTCACATCTGCTATAGACTTAGATCATGTTAACGTTCATATATGTTGAAACTTCATTTATCTTCTCGATGACTCTTTTAGAGAGTAAATCTAGGGCCCTTGTTATTCTTCTAACCCATCTTTTCGGACAACCTCTTAACAAGAAGATGGTTTCGGGAGAGACCACAATCGATCATTGTATCATTATATACGTATGGTTTCGTCATGTGAATTTACACCTATGATCCTATATATATATATATATATATATATATATGTATATATATATATATGTATGTATGTATAACAAAACTGTATAAAATTTGGTGGTTGCTACAGATTTTTACGTCCATGATGACGGAAAACATGATGTCATGATTGAAGTGAAAGGAACTCGATAGCGGGATACATTTTAGTGGATAGTGTTCCAGTTGGAATATAAGTTATGGTGAAAAGCGTAATAAAAAATATCCACCTTTATATCAATCATAATTGAATGTCAACACTAATGAGCTGTACCGAGATGCACCAGATCAATTCACTTCTAAAACACAAATTCATGGATAAACATGAAACTAAGAGTGATTAAAGATTTAAATATGTTTTTACGCTTCTCACCGTAACTTCATTTCTCACACGATACTCCACCACATTTGTTATGTGTTGCTTAAATTTATTTATTAGATCATTATACTCTTATAATCATATTTAATTACGTCATTTTATTTATATTTAAATTATTTGATATAAACTATCAATTTTGATCACGAACTTATTTCCTTTTTACTTAATAAGTTAATGATATATATAATTAATTATCAATGTTTCGTGTAATTTTTCTAACAATAACTAAAAATGGGTAGTTAAATAAGTCATTATATATCTGTTATTTTACATTTAACCATCTTATCTCTCTTTTTTTACTCGGTTTTTGACAGTAATAGTAAAAAAAAAGACTTAAATAGGGTTTTGTAACGTCAATATAAGCTACACCAACGCCACTATTTCATGCCAAAAAGAAACTCAAACGCTCAAAGAAATTAGTTGGGCAAGCAGATTCACATCTCTTACGACTTCTTTTTACAATACAATCCTTCCACGATCATGAACTAGAGCTAGATTTAGGCATGCTACACTTTGTAGTCATTGGATAATGGAAACCAGCAATTACTCCCACTCCCAGCATCTTCAATGGGAACCAGAACACCTCCAACGATTATGTTATAATTTTTCTCAAATAGAGCATCAACAACCAAAATCTCTAAAATAAAAGTTACATATATGTTTACTAGCTACTTTATTTTAACAATTCTCACGTCAATTACATTATTAAAATTACTTATAAATTAAATATAACACATGGCCGTTTGATTGATTTCAATCAAGTCGTGTATAGATAAAGTTGTTTTTATAGATTAATCTATCAGATTAAAAAGACTTGTTTTAAAAGGATTTTTCATAAATAAAATGAGTGTTTTTTTATTTGAAAGTAGTAGATTTGCAAAAAACTTGACTTTACAAGTTTTCGAAATAAACCATTTTCTACATCATTAAACCATTACTAAACAATCATGTATGTCTGACAAAATAAAAATTGAGTCTTATTAAGCCATTAACAAACAAACCCTTAATTTCATTAGTGAAAAAAAAATAAAATAACATCTCTTCTAACATTAATCTTTTAGAGAATTTCACATTCTCTTTTTTCCTTTTCTCTATTTTAGCACTCCTTTTGGAGATGCTCTCTCCTAAACTGTGAATTTCTTAACAATTCTTGAATCTAAAATTAATGCAAGATGAAGATAAATCTTGCACCAAACTTAGGTGCCGTTTACCCAAATACTTACTCGGTAAGTGCTTACCAATAGGAATCGACATTATAATTTATTTTTATCAGATAAGATTGTAGTACATCAAAACGGTATCGTATGCAACAATTACCTAGTAAGTGTTTACCCGGGTAAGAGTCGTCACCCTTACTTAATAGATAAGACTCTCCATCCTTATCGTCGTTATTACCAGGTAAGATTCTTGACCCTTGCCATGTTAATCCGGTGAGAAAAATTGCCCGGTAAGCACTTACCGGGTAAGCGTTTAGTAAGTCACGTTACCTCACTAGATGAACATAGTAAGGACCAAGAATTTTACTCGATAAAAATGAGACAAGGACCAAGAATCTTACCCAGTAAGTGAGAACGATGACTCTTACCACGGTAAACGCTTACCAGTTAAATTGTTGCATATGATGTCGTTTTGGTGAACTAAAATCTTACCAGGTAAGTAACTAATAGTGTTAAATTTTACTGGTAAGCACTTATCGGGTAAGTGTTTGATAAACGACCCCTTAGTCGTTTAACAATGTTTATGTAATTAATATGATAAAAGATTCAACTGATGAATCTTTTCCTGAAAAATGCAAGGGAAAAAAATGGCATGAAAACAGCAAACCAGAATTGAATAGAGATGAGATGAAGACTAAATAAAATGTCTTAATATTGAGGGTGACAAATACTTGATCCAAAAGTGAACACCAGAAAATTTGAAACCTATGATATGAAAATGTCTTCAACATCAAACCAAAATCATGATCTCACCTTAACAAAAATCCAATCTCGAAAACATAAACATCATTCATTCTTTCAAGCCCTAGCCTAAAAATACCATTTGATCATCAAAATCTTAAAAAGATTTAGTAGAAGAAACCGAGCACTTTACCACCAACGTTCTTCCTCCTAGCTTCTTCGTGGTCCATGATTCCAGCCGATGTGGTCAACACAATGTACCCAAACTGCAAGTTTTTATACATATATTAGCTCTAGGCCATTACTTCACCAATTAGTAAAATGGGACAGGTTCATTTCAGAATTGCAAATATTTTGATAAACCGTGGGAACCAACTATTGTGAACATAAATGTTTATGATGAATAATATTCATGTTTACAGTTGCTAAATGGGATTTACCCTTAGATATGCTCATTCAAGAAATGGCTATTTGGGTGTTTGCTTGTCTTACCTGTCTTGACGGAAGAAGTCTTGCAGTCCAGGGCTCAATCTCCTTGACACCAACGTCAAAGCGAGGACTGATGACCCCACATTTGTTCAAACGTCCATTCAGTTCCACAACAATCTTCCCTGATCTGTGGTCATCGACATATTCGAACTCACCAATATATCCTGTACAGTTGAGTGTAAAAGTATGTCATCTCACCAGAACTTCCTTTGTCATATAGGGTTTAATGCTACAATTATTCAGAGAGAAAGAAAAGAGCAAACCATGTTTCTGCATAACAATAAGAAACTTGATGATAACTTTTGAAGAAGGCCTAATCATGACCTGTCTTTTCCCCCTCTTCTCAGCATTGTACATGCACTTAAGAGCATCGTTTAAAACGCTAACCCTCACCATCCTCACAAAATCAAAATGCTGCAAGGATGAACCCCAATAATCAGAAAATATACTAAACAGTTGCATAGATGGGAGTCATGGAACGTATTATGACCTTAATAGAAGTACAAGCCTTCAAGTTAATAATACAAGGATGAACTACAACGGGCTCTACCTATCAGTTCCACAGAGACAAAATACTAGAGTGCCAACATCATGCAATCAATCTTAACTAATTCAATTACCATCCGACATTTTAATTCTAACCATGTCATGCACCGATATGAAAATTTTCGTTTATTGCACTATGTTGCACCACATATATCTTTAACAAAACAATTGTCACTGTTTATTGTTAGAACATGGCCAATTTCAGCATAAAAATAAAATGATAAGACACCAATTCTGGAGTAAACTTAAGATCAATAATGGGCATTCTAATATGTACTCAATAATTAGTGTGCAAGCAATTATTCAGACATGCATAGTTAAAGGAAGATGGGTAAGAATAATATATCTACTAATGAATTCCTTGAGAGATTCACCTTCACAATCTCAAAACAAATAAAGTAGCAATAAAATTAACACACTACAACCTTGGCAGAGCCAATCCCCACACTTCAACATAAATCCCCAACCTCAAACAGATGGATCAACACAAAGTTAAAAAAATTTACCTTTACAAAGCTCAAGGTAACCAATTGAAGTATTAAATATATCATAAGGATGCAGTTGATAAACACACTGTACAATCATCCATCACTCCGAAAGTTGAAAATTTTGCGCTTAGAAATTGACAACAAAAACCTCAAGTCTTTGAAATCAGCTCGTTTAAACATAACACCCGGTGTATGATTTCAAAAACTGTTGCTCGCAGTGGTCGTGTTATGTTACAACTACAGATACAGTCCAGCTATAAAGAAACATCATGATGAGATCAAATTATCTTCAACAGAAAATAATCTATAAACGAATCACCTGAGGAAAAGTTCATAGAACCTTCAACCAGTGGTTCTAATCAAAATTTAGCATTGTCTAAGGACACTTCAATCGATTGGAGAAACAAAACGTAGATAACAAGAGCAACGATCTATCTATTCGAGCTGTGCGTGATAATGTTTATGCAAAAATGAGAAAATTAGGGTTACCTCGGAGCAAAAACGGCAGCGGCGACTGCTTGAGTGAGGAAGGAATACAGAGACTGGAAAATGAGTTAGGGTTTCGGCTTTTATAGGAAATTACAGAATTACAAAAATGAGCCCCTGATCTATTGCATGTTTTTATAAATTGTCCTTATAGAAATGACTCAAATACAATTAACCCCCTGGGTTTCTGATTTAAACCCAACATCATGGCACGTGATGTGACAATGAAATCGACCATTAAACACTTTGATTTTTAAACAAATTAATAAATAAATTTTAAAACAAATACCCCCTCTTTGTTTAAATAACTGTTCACGGTTTTTATTTTAGATTGTCCCAAAATAAATGTTCATTTTCATAAATAAATATATAATATTCAGTATATCAATGGCTTCTTGATCCACCTTTTACTTCATTTATAGTAAATTTGTCTCTGATTCATGCATTTTGTTATATATTTGATCCATGTTAACTAATGGACCGTTTACCTAAATGTTTACTCGGTAAGAGCTTACTATTAGAAGTCAATACCGTAATTTATTCTACCGGATAAGATTGTAGTACATCAAAATTGTATCGTATGCAACAATTTACCCGGTAAGCGTTTAACTGGGTAAGAGTCATCATCCTCACTTACTGAGTAAGACTCTTCATCTTTATCATGGTAAGATTTTTGACCATTATCATGTTCATCCGGTAAGAAAAATTACCCAGTAAACACTTACCGGGTAGCGTTTAGTAAACGACCCCTAACGTTATGTACCCCTTGCACAAAGGTATATTGGTCAAGGGTTACCTAAAAATGCGATGTGGCATATATAAAATCCTCTTTTTAACACATTTCTAAAAAAATCAAACCTATAAGCCTTCACCAAGCATTCAAGAATACTATTGATCGCATTAATCGATGTATCTATAAATGTGAAAGAAAAAAAAAAGAACATCATGCAAATTCAAACCCAAATACTGTAAATATATACATATTTGTGCAAAATCATCAAAAATTCAAAATCAGTATAATCTAAATGTAAGTCAAAACCATAAATTTAAACTAATAGTTGAAGTATTATTTAATGGCTTCATTGGTTACTTCATATGAAAGAGTATGGTCTGAATCGAAGAAAAGAAAATGACTCAAAATACACAAAAATGGAAGAAATTGTGTTGGATGCTATCAAGTTCATCTTCTTCCTTTGATTCAGATGAAAGAGGGTGGTGTCGTTGATGCCATCAGGAGGTCCATGAGAGATGAGTTTTCTGAAATATTATCGACTTGATTAAGAACGACGCCCTTGTCGAATAAGTTTCCCTGTCTTGCTTTTAAGCTATTTCTCTTACCCAATCTCTAGCTTTGACTTGATTTTCCAATCGAGATAACAAAAGCCCAAAACCATTATTACAAATAGGCGATTTCGTCTAAAAACATTATCGTTTACTATTTTGCTGTTAGTAACTTGGATCTTTAAAATATGTACTTTTTCTAATCGGTTTATTCTCCTTACTCGGTTGTTGCTATTAGCGGTCGTGCGAGATGTGGATATGGAACCAGGGAATGATATGTCAAGAGAAGGAAGCTTCTCCATGGCACCTTGAGCAACCAATTTGTTGTTTTGCTCAATTGATCATTATACTAATCAGTTTTGGGGAGCATAAAACTAGATGACAGTAATGACCTATAGCTAATAATTTAATCAAAACACCATCCATAGCTTTTTTGTAAGATTTTACTATAAAATTGACCAAAATATACCTATTTGTGGGACACAGATTACATTCAAGATGTCTTTGGTACACTAGATAGAATATAACAGAATAGGGATTATTAATGGTTCATACTAGACTCGAACTTGGAACAATAAACATGCTAAACATGGGTTGTATTGAATTCTTTTGGTTTAGTTTAATTGTTAAACTATATTTGTCACATCCTAATACACAGAACATGGATTATTGGCTAATAATACGTCAATAGAATACCATCACTTGCAGATTAAAGTATGAACCTTCTTTCATTGTATTAGGATGTAACATATATAATTTAACAATTAAACTAAACCAAAAGAATTCAGTATAACCCATCTGAAAATAGGGTCTAAGATTATAGGGGTATAGACCTATAATATATATATATATATATATATATATATATTTTCAAATAGTAACACTATTTAATTATTGAGAAAACATATAATTTTTTAAATGATGATTCGGTTAGTTAATTGTTTGTAATTTCATGGAGAACCCCTCAATCGATTCTTGTATATATGGCTTGGTCCAAATTTATTTTTAAAACTAAAGCGATAAGAAAGAAGCTCAACTAAAAGCTAAAAAGGAAGTATTTCGACACAGTGCGATTTAAGCCATGTTCTCTATTGAAAGCATGCTCCATAAACCAACTCAGCTAACTTAAATTTCTATCATAAATATAATTTTAAATAATATATAGACACACAACTAAACATTACAGTGGCATCCTTCAAGAACCTTTTTCCATTACAAGGGAGAAATGAAATGATGACTCATGCCACCATATGGGCTTAAGTAGTCTTGCCCATGATATACACAACACAAACATATCCTCTACCAAAAAGAGTTGGGGGCCGTTTACCAAATACTTATCCGGTAAACACTTAACGGTAAAATTCAACATTATCATTTACTTACTAGGTAAGATTTTAGTCAATAAAAACGGCTTTCTATGCAACAATTTAGCCGGTAAGAGTTGACCATGGTAAGAGTCATTGTCCTCACTTACCGGGTAAGACTCTCGGTCTTTGTCTCGCTCTTACTAGGTAAGATTCTTGGTCATTGTCATATTCATCTGGTAATGTAACATAACTTGGTAAGCGCTTACACGAGTAAGCATTTGGTAAACGGCCCCGTAGACCACCTTAATATAATTTGATAACTAAACTAAACAAAACAAACCTAATACATCCATCCAGGATCGTAGAGAAACAGGATGCCCACAGATGTCTACTTTACTCCCAAAACAGTATAACAACTGTTAAAAACATATAACTTGACAAATTTTTTCTCAAGTTTATAAGATAATCATAATAAATTACATAAAAATCAAAATCAAACGAACCCAATATATCTCATGGTATAAAGAATTTGGCGGTTTTAAATAACGTTTGAACACTTGGGCCTATGCAGATGGGTAAATGCCAAGTGCCCCCAAACAAACACACGCAGGATCATTGAAGGCATAAAAACAATGCAACTTTCATGGTTTTCAATTAAGAATTCAACAAATTACAAGATCTGTGGGGTTGTTAAAATGAGAAGAAAATTCACCCTCATAATTGATGTTGAGGTTATTTATAAAGATCTGGGGGAAGATGGTGTTTAGGATTTAAGGGATGCCCCACCCTTTGCAAGCTCCTCCACTGCCTTGGAGATTTGTGGCTCTGTCATACCTTCCAAACGAATACCTCTCTCAACTCCCATATCTGTATATACACAGACATCAAAACCTATATATATTATATAAATACATTCATCAAACATATATATAACACCATAACATGATAATACCATTGCACAATATTCTAGTTTTGAATCGTTTTTCTTACTAATCGTCATCCTTAATCCATTATCCATTCCTAACTGCAAAACTTGAGTCATTCCAATCCCGCTGAGTTGTCCCACCCACCTTGTCCTAGGACAGTCCAGTTTACCTCCTCTATGATGGTCTTGGCTAATTTCATGGGACCCTGAACTAGTGACCACTCGGGAGCAAACCTAAGGTCTTACCGTTGACCTGTTGCTTATTGATCATAAATATGCAAATTAAAAGTTCAAAATCGTCACAGACCATCAACTAAACCACTAAACAACTCCTTCCCCCACCCCTCTTTATTTCAACAAAAGTTCTCCCATAAAACATGCAACATTTCGAGTTGACATATATAGTAAGTAAAATCTGCAGCTAGTGGTCAAATATTTGAAAACCATTCAACAACGACAAAAGCCAAATAAATGTCATTAACTTATTTGGAATGATGATAATCTGCAGATAAGTAATTGTGGCTCAGAATCTTTTCAGGAACAAGTGAGATTACAATGTTCATGCAACATCCATCTTAGAAAGAAAAATGTTAACAAATTTCATGGGAGTGATTATATGATGATAATCTTTACGAGTTATTTACTTCTATAACTATTATACATTTTGTATCAAAACAACCATGTTGGTTGAAATAATCCTAGTAAAAGAATGTACTTGCAAAATGTGAACATTTATAGCCATTGTAATTGATTTTAATTTTTAAAAACATTGTATTTCACAAAATTTGCAATTATATTCATGCTTTGCAAATTGCAAGTATAACGTCGTTTTTAGGAAATTTTTTGAAGTATAGCACTTGTCTTAATACAAAGTGTCAAATACAATAGTCAGAGAAGCTTATCAATCTAATATTAATAAATGCAACCAATCCAAAGTTTTAAATGGCGTGAGGCTGGAGCGGCGGTGAGGTCAAGACTAAGCCTTACGCACCACGGCGAGGATGCAGCGTTTTTCAAGGCGTATAAGGCGGCAAATTTGTATGTCATATATAATTATATAGATGCATATATGTTTTCTATTTATTATCAATGAGAAACAATTTCGCCATGCTCATGCAAAACAAAACGTATGTGCTTATAAATCAACTATTATCCATTTTGATGTTCATTTCAATAAATAAATTATTTGAATAAACTGTTTATATTTAATTGTTTATATAATACGCAATAATCCATTAACCATCCCATTTACTCATTGTTTCCAAATGTTATAAAATATGCCTTCACTTTGATTAATATTCCATGTTTTACTTTTACCCTTCCAGTCTTCATTATTTTATTTGGTACCCAACCCAAATGCAAGATTTTTGCAATTCTTTGTGTAAAGTCTCTATATTGAGAGGGTTGTATCCAAGTTATTCGACCAGGATTTCTCCGAAGCGGTTACGTGAGTAACGACCCTGGGCTCTACTGTTAGATTTCTGACTGGGTACCCATTGGGCTATCTTGGCGCGTGGCCTCTTTTCACGTTTTCTTACTTTTAACTAGTTTAATCCTTATTTTCAAATGCATTTTAGAAATAATATTTATGAAGATCTCTAGAATTGTTTTTTTTTAAATGGTATGCAAAACAAATAAATTATCATATAGTAAAAGAAAACATAAAATTACAACATATGGAGGAAGACTGGATTAGATCTCAAAATTAGAAGCATTAGATTATATCTGCATGGGCAAGCAAGGCTCATATATGTAGGTTAATATCGGCGAAAAGGATCGAATGCTGCTTGGCTGCAAACACACCTAGTTGCAGCATAGCAAGTAATCCCCAGTTCCCAACAACTTGGTCAAAGAGTACTTAAAGCTATATATTTCTCTTACATGTGCACCAACAAACGCACAAGGCAATGTGTCCCTTATTTCAAGATAGAAGGCAGCCAGTGGCAGTTCAGTCCCTTCAGCAAAGCTAGATGTGAACGGAACAAAAGTTCTATTATAAATGGCTGCAAACTTTAAGAGTCTATGATAAAAACCCACTGAAGGTGTACTCGAGGAAAAGGAACCGGGTCACAGCTGCCAATAGGGGGCAGCTGAATTCTATTTTTAGGAATTGGCTGAATCCTCTAAGCCAAAACAATTGATGGTCAACTGGCTGAATTTACTCAAATCAATTGATGGTTAACCAAGGAATTAGGGAGCAATTACCACACTTGATTTTAGCAGTTACCATACTTAATTCTAAGAATAGGATAGTATAAATAGCAGGCTTGCTTATCATTGTTATCATCGAAGTTACTCATATTTATCTTTTCTTGTAAACGGAGACCTTGCCCCTCTCGAATTGGGCCACTATCAATAAAAAGCTAGCCTATTCCTATTCTTACTAGAAGAGTACTCGCGCAATGCAGCGAGATACATCGTGTTTTTAATATTTCATTTTATTCTTTATCTCAGTCGATGTTATAATATGACTTTATGTGATTTTGAG